CATTTTGGCAGAGATTGGGTGAACAGAATCGCGGCACTTGACAGTTAAGACCCGTGAAACTCGGGCCGCACTCGCATTTGTAACAGTTGGCGACCCCCGTGCGGCACAGGGCCTCGTCGTGTCGACACAGCCCTCCATTCAGGCACGGAATGGTATCGCACGGACTCACGTCGATCTCGCAGTTGACGCCCCTGTACTTCGGGCCGACGCACTGGCACTGATACGACCCGTTAACGAGGTTATGACACGACCCGCCGTTCAGACACGGCTGCGACTTACAGACACCGACGTCGGGCCTGAAATTACAGCTAAACTCCACGTTCGCCAGCGTCTTGAGCACCGCCGCCGACGATACTGACGCCATGTGTAGCGGTATCTGTTGACCATTGATGAGGATGTTGTCGAGGCAGCCGACGAATCCCAGCGTAATCTCTTCGCCGCCGACGGCGTTAGAGCGCGGCTTCACTGAACCGCCGAGGAATAGGTCGACGTTGAGGTCGAGACAGCGGGCGCTCCCGGGCGCGAACCCTCCGCCCCGGTATTTGCGGTCCAGTGTGAGCGACGCCGTGTCGCTCTTGCGCTCCACCAGAATCTCATGCCATTTGCCGTCACTGACCACCAGATTCTCGATACGGATGAGTCCCTCGCCGTCGCCGCAGTCGAAGCGGTACTGAATGTATCCGCCGGCGATCTCCAGTATATTGTAGGACTTGTCGCCGCTCTGCGTGAAGACGTTGGCCCTCAGCTGTTGGCTCTTAAAACGGAGCGATATCTTCTCGACCCTCTTGTGGAAGGAATATCTGGCGTAAGAGTTGCCGTGAAATGAGATCGGATTGAGCTCTGGAAGGGGGGAAATGGCGTTCAATACGCGCAGCGATCAGTAAATCTGGTAAAAAAGACAATTCAAATGGTAGGCAAACCTTCGTAGCAAAAGGAGACGTCGCGATCGCTGGTGTGACAGGTCTCGGCGTTTTGGTTGCATACGGGCCCCGACTTGCCGAACGGACACTGGCACAGGTAGCCCAACGGGGACGACACCGGCAGGCACTCCTTGAACGAGGGGCACGGGTTGCGGGCGCACTCGTTGACGATCACTTCGCACAGCTTCCCGCCGAAGCCCGGATGGCAGGCGCAGCCGTACCGGTGCTCGTGAAATGGGGACACGAAACTGAGTTTCGAGCCGACAATAGAGATGACATCGTTTTCGCTGAGTATGAGTTCGTCGCGACACTCGCCGTGCTTACAGTGGATGTGCTGACACTCGGACTTCACCACAAAGTCCTCCAGAAGTATTCCCAACTGCTTCTCAATACCGCTCTTACTCTCCGCCACTTTGGTTTTGATCCATTGTCTCGAGTAATAGCCGCCACGACTTCGCGCGACGACAAACAGTACGCTAATGTCTCCCAGATTGTCGTCACTCCGGCGGAGTCTGTTCTGTGGGTTCTTGTGATCCGTCGGTTGAATACTGATTATCACGATGTCTTTCATGCGGACGTTGAACACGTTCTTAAAGACCCGGATGAATGTCTTCTTGTAATTCGTGATGAACTCCTTCGCGGATATCGATCGCAACTCCACGACCGCACTGTTGGCGATCATGTCGTCGGTGATGACCGTCACCTCCAGATCCACCAAACCGTACGTCACGTACTTGCCGTCGCTGACCGTCACATTGATCTTATACTTGCCGGCGTCCAGTCCGGGAAAGGCTACTAACGTGCCGTCCGTCGAGTCAATGGAGAACAGGTGTTTGTCGTCCTCCTGAGTGATGGCGTAACTGAGTTTATCGAAGGGGTCGTCATCGGTGGCCGACACCTGACCGACGATTCCGCCGGGAAATTGTTCCAAAGAGTTCACCGCAATCGACAGGTGCGTCAATTGGGGCGCAATCCTGGGTTCCTGTGTCACCAACACGAGCACAGCGGTCGTCGAGCTCAGGGCCGGTGTTCCCGAGTCTGTCGCTTGGATTGTCAGCGAATAGTTGGCTCGCAATGAATGGTTGAACACAGTGTTGGTCCGCAAAGACGTGTCTCCGTTCACCAAAACAAAGCTGTCGTTTGAATCCCCGGACATCAGCCGTAGAGTGAATGGCCCGGAATTGGCGGCGCTGTCGGCGTCCTGTATATTGAAGTTGACGATCGAGTGGCCGGCGGGTCGGCCCTCCTGTACATACACCGTGTAATTAGTTTTGTCAAAAACCGGTCGATTATCGTTTGCGTCGGATATCTCAATGTTCACGAACACCGAGTTTGAGAGGGGTTTGGGGTTTCCGTTATCATCGCAAACGGCTTCGAGAATATAGGATGAGATCATCTCGCGGTCCAACGTCTTGCCGACAGTTACGATGCCAGTGATCGGGTCGATGTGAAACTCTTTGTACGTCTGGGCGCCGCCGGTGAACGAGTAGCTGAGGTTCGCGTTGGCCGGCGAGTCCGAGTCGATGGCCACCAGTTGTATAATACGGTCGCCGATCGCCGAGTCCTCGCGGATCACAATATCGTACGAGCGCTGCACGAACTGAGGGCTGATATCATTAACATCCGTCACCCGTATGGTTACGTGCGCTTCGCTCGTGAGGGACGGTATGCCGCCGTCTTCGGCCCTCACAGTCATGAAGTACTCGCGAACCGTCTCGTAGTCCAGCGCTTTGGCCACAGATATGATGCCCGNGAGCGCTGCACGAACTGAGGGCTGATATCATTAACATCCGTCACCCGTATGGTTACGTGCGCTTCGCTCGTGAGGGACGGTATGCCGCCGTCTTCGGCCCTCACAGTCATGAAGTACTCGCGAACCGTCTCGTAGTCCAGCGCTTTGGCCACAGATATGATGCCCGACTTGGGGTGTATAGAGAAGCTGCCGTTTTCGTTGCCGCTCACGATGTGGTACTTGATCTCGGCGTTAATCCCGGTGTCTTGGCTCGTGGCGTACACTTTGAGCACCTCGTGGCCAATGGGCGCGCTTTCGGACACATTTGTCGCGTAGGACTGCATCTCAAACTCAGGCGCGTTGTCGTTGATGTCCATCACGTTCACCACGAAAGTGGCGGTCGAGAAGAGCTGCGAAGCGCCCGAATCGTAGGCTTTGAGCGTCAGATTGTACGCCGATTTGGTCTCTCTGTCCAACGCCTTCGCCAACCGAATGATACCATTCCTGTCGTCGATCTCAAACTCGTCGCCGGCGGCCGTCTGAAGGGCGTACCGGACGCGTCGATTGATGCCGAGGTCGGCGTCAGTGGCCGTCACTTTGCCGACGATTATGCCGACCGTCGAGTCCTCGGGAACGTTGACCGAGTAGTAAGTGTTGGAGAATTTGGGCGATTCGTCGTTCACATCACTTCGAGGATCAATCATAAGACACAATTAATACGCAAAACAATTACCACACGAATTGATAGGCCGTCCATACCTGAGCAGTATCTCCACTTCACTCTTACACGTCCAGTCCCGGCGCTTGTCATCGCTGATGTGCACTTCAAACAGATATGAGGCGCGAGTTTCCCTGTCCAGCAAACCCTTAGTCTTCAGGTGTCCCGACTGCGGATCAATTGTGAAGTGCTTTTCCGGGTCGCCGGAGATAAAGTAATACAGTTTGGCGTTATCTCCATCATCGACATCCGTGGCCTCCACTGTCAGTATGTATGTCCCGGGAGGGACCGCTTCGCTCACTAACTCCACGTACTTTGACTTCAGACAAATGGGTCCGTTATCGTTGATGTCCAGTATGTCGATCGTAACCATCGTTCTCGCGGTAAACCTTCCGTCGGTGATCGCAACCTCCAAGTCGTACCTCTCGATCGACTCCCTGTCCAACGCCTTATTCACGATAATCTCGCCGTTTTGCCGGATCTCAAACTGATTGTACGGATCGCCGCTCAGTATATAATAACTGAGTTCCGAGTTCTGGTCGCTATCGACGGCATCGACCGACACAATGATGGTTCCCAACGGACTGTTCTCGTAGATGGAGGCCATGTAGTTCTGGTTGACAATTGGCTCATTATCGTTGACGTCGTAGACCTCGATGTTAAATGTGGTCGAGTTATAGTGCGTGCCGTCGCTCACGCCTACCGTCAGGTTATGGGAGGACCTCTTTTCGCGATCCAAGCGCTTGCCGAGTG